GAACTGACTCAGGTTCGTTGCTGTTACCAGTAAATCTGTGAAATCCTAATTTGTAAGTAAAAGGTAGAAGTCACCCGAATGAGGGATTTATTGTCCACAGAACCTTGCGTTTGTGTCTCCGGCAGCAGTAACCACTAGCCAAGCCAGGGCTGGTAATGACTGCGTCCAGTCATGTCAGATCTGAGTACGACAAGCTTTATGTTATAGACCAGTTTGTTCGGACCCGACTAATAGGCAGAAAAAGCCAAGTGAGTGGTTTTGATAGCAAGCCTTTATTCAGGACGGTACAAAGACAACGGAATAGAATTAGCGTGTCCACCACAGCCTATTATAAGGCTTTGGTCCTTCTAGACTAATCCTGACCAATCGCATGTGAGGGGGATTCTGGCGTGCATGCTGATTCGTGGTTTCCCACGCTGCGAGACGTTTCTAGGACATCTGCAGTGCACGTGTGCGCGGGTGTCACTTGTGCTCGGGGAGTGCGCGGCCGGCCTGTGGCCATGACTCAAATGGCGTGCACTTCTCGTCTCCATAACATATTCAAATATACAAAATTAAAATTTCATGATAAAATGCTCTCAAGTTAAGGTTTATCAATGGTAGCGTCACCGCCAAAATTCTACTTAAATTATTTCTACTGCTGAGCTAAAGAGGTGCGCTTTACAACTGACTGGAATTACCTTTTTCCTCAGTTCATCCTTCAATGATCCCTTGACGATATACTCGCCATTTTCGTCAAAAATCTCCTTTTCTGCCACTGTCTCCAAAGGAGCTTCGCCCTTCGAAATCGAATTTCTACCCTTTTTATTAGTCTTGGTCTTTGTTCGAACCTTCTGTCCTTTTTGCGTAGATGCAGATTTTGGCGTTTCAATAGTCTCCTGAAGTAAAAGACACAGACGGACCGCCGGTGGTTAACAAGTTACATCGACTGTAGGTATATAAATAGACCCTTCATTTACTTATAACGTATGCGTGTTAGATCAAATTTGGGGGAGGGGGAAAATTGCTAATAGTTTCAGGTTTCTTATGCCGCTGCTAGTTTTTGAAGACTGGAGCACATAAAATAATTTGCGGTTTGTCACTTAAGCGTAGCCTTGCATATAAAAGTGGCAGTCGCCCCCTATGTTCCTGAACTGGCTGGTCGCTATGAATAAATATACAGGATGTTCCTGAAGTCATTTGGAACGTGCACAGTAGCACTCCTCAAGCGGTAAAAATCGCACAGTCATTTACACAAAAAATAAGACGGTCTAAATCTTTACGATTCATTCTTCATTTATTTTAAGACTGCCGTCCTCGTTGCTACATTTTAAAACCCATGCTCTAACTCCCCAAATTATATTCCATATTCGACGCATTTATATTGTCTTAGTGACATACCCTATGCTGACTTGGACGTTGTTCACATAGCGATGTTTTACAGAGTACATGACCTCTTTAGATCAGTTGATTTTTTATTTCCCTCCACCTTTCAAAAAGACAAATTGGCGAGCATAAGTTTTCTTTCGGTAAATTCTCTTCAGGCCTGTACATTCATATGTTAATTAATTAAGTAATTGTCACGGGTTGGTAGAAATATCGTGCGGTTTTCAGCGTCGGGAGGAGAAAATTGGTGTCAGTAGTCTAATGAGAGTCAGGAGGAAGTGGCCAACAGTAAAATGTAATTAGCTGCGGGTGGTTAAATTAGCGACTTTCGGCCATGGTAACTGCAGCACACATGACTGGTTTGCATAATCCGATTGCAGCCGCTTCTGTCGTAGCTAACAGACGCTGTCCAAGGAAGTTAGAATTACTGGAGGGCACCTCGTAGATCACCCGAAAAGCCTTTCTGGCATCTACGCGATGATCTGGGTCTACCATGTGCGCGAGAATGGAACTGCTTGTGTTTTTTATTTGGCCTTTTTCTAACCATGTCGGCAGTTGTTCTCGTATTCGTTTATACAAACGCCGGCTCGTGCTACCAATATATTTTCCCCCAAAGGACCAGGTAAATGAATAAATGCACATAGAGATTGTGTAGGCTGGCAGTTTTTCCTTTCTCTCTCCATGTAGGGTAGAAGTAGTGGAGAACAGTATATGAGAGTGGGTTGCTGCAAAGGTGTTTGACACAGCCTGACTGAGGCGACTTCTGAAAAGTTCGCTTGGTGCGTCCCCTTGAAATGGGACCCTGATGAAAAGTCCTTTCTTCGCTCCTCATAGCACCGAGAGCCCTGGCGGTCTTTCACCATGTTCCTAGCAATAAAGTGACTTGGATACCCATTTTGTCAAAATACGCTTTCTACAAACTTAAACTTTTCTTCGATTATATCGGTCGAGCAGATCCTTTTCGCCCTTTGCGTCAAACATTGAACTACACTACGTTTGAAGTTTAACTGTACAAAACTCCTATAATGGGTATATTGCCCGGAACAAGTCTTCTTACGATGGACACTACGCTGCATACTGCCGTCAGACGTTCTACTGAGAAGTACGTCGAGAAATAGGAACGATCTGGCCTGTTCTGCTTCTAGGGTAAGTTCGATTGACGGGTGCGCCTTTTTAACGGTATGCCGTAGCGTTTAAATGGTAGTTTGTTCACATATAACGCAAATATATCATTCACGTAGTGCCCGTAGCACGTCAAATCATTTATCTGGTAACGAAGTTGCGGAGCTTCAAGTTTGCCCATAAACGTATCCGCTAGACACAGGCCAAGAGGCGAACTCACAGCCACTCCTTCCAAATGCCCATAAAGGATGTTGTCAAATAGGAATTATACATTCAAGGTACATCTAAATATTAATCCCTTGAGTGCACTCACGGACATTTTTATGTCCTCTTTATTTGACGTAATGCATTCACAGGTGCAATTGACCATTTCTGTGACCGGCACGTTCATGAAAAAAAGACGAGAATTCTCGTGAAAACACCGTCATGCCGTTAAGGTCAAGGTCTTTCACGCTGTCCGCAAATGCAAGGGTACCTCAGAAGCTGTGTGGAGGTAGTTAATCCTCTATAGACTTGCGTTTTTGCTAACCATTTTGCCATTACATGGTAAGTTAAATTTCTCATATCTAGGAGGGGACGAACGGATGTGCCGGCTTTGTGGATCTTCAGTAAGCCCTTTAGTCGAGGTATATGCGTGTCTACGGGACGGAAACGCTTTAAGTCATGTTCGTTGATGAAGTCGCGCTGTTGAAGTCTTTTCGGACAGTCAGTCCATTTGTTTGGAAATGCTTTTTTATTGTCACGCATTAAATTCATAAAAATATGCCGCTTCATCTTGTTAAAAAAGTGGAATTTGAAACATTTATCCTCGATAATTAGGAATGCAGAAAGTATACAGCGCTGTCACGTAACATCTTCATTGAATGCACATACTGCCTCTTCACCGATTCCGATCGGCTACTGATCCAGTTTTTTTATTGATCTGCCTACATTATAAATGACATTGAAACTATCTTCTGCTACTGAGTAATGAAGTGTTTTATTTCGCACGTTACTGGATCATCTCGACAAGTCTACACACGCATATTTCCCTCTCCCTGGCATCCGTTAGTTGGAGAGCCACGAGTAAAGATTTATAAAAGAAAAAGCAAAAAATGTTTACAAAAGCAAGCGTTTACATTAAAAAAAGTGACAAAATGAAACCCTAAAGAGTTTGGCTTCCATAAATATTTTATCAAATGAGTCTATCAATTACACAAGGTAAGTTGTTAACTATTACACCGCTGCAGAACTGCGTGAAAAACCGAGGCTGTAACAACCCGTAGTTAACGTCCCTGTGGCAGTTGTGTGGACGGATATACCTGTTCGTGTGGAGGTCCGTTTCCAGCAAACTGTATTGTTAATGTTGACCTCGTACTAACAAAAATGCCAGGATCGATGGGTCGATTATACTGCTGATGTCAAATCCGACCGCATTGCCTACCTTCAGTGACGGCTGACTACGGTTGACCACAGTAACCACTTCCGATGAGAAGGTATGGCAGGCAAGTATATGCGTATCTTAATCGTCGGTATACACCGTTCCGTGTGTGGAATGTGTAGATAGCAGCAGCCATGGTCACTTTCGGATGTCGAGGGCAACCGTCCCTTTTCACACAAACTAACGTGCACCCAGACGCTCCTTGAAGCCGTTAGAACCCACTGCTTTACGGAGGCTGATATAGATCGAGATTGAGGTGAGTGTCCGTATTCCAGGTGCGTGTGCATATAAGTAAATAAATAGGATTGCATTCTTGGATCACACATATATGAGAATAAGTTGGTTGTAAGACCGGGGGACAAATTAGCACATGTGGCTGCCTACACTTACAAAACGGGTCAGGAATATAACTTGGTAACTACGATACTAGTTGCCCACACCAGTAAAAAGGCAAGCCGCGAGTTGATTGAAGCCTGGACCTCCGATAAGAACTCAGTCAATTGATTTATCAATCTGACGCCACCATACAGAGCCCTGCGCAAACTGAAGTTACTGGTGTTTGACTGGCCCTCGTCGCCTTTAGCTATTGCTTGTTTTTTGTTGCCGCTTTTAACTCTGACGTCGGACTCCCGTAAACGTTCGAAAGCTGAGACAATTAAAGCCATAATTCAAGTGAGCAGCGATTCTTCTTCTACTTTCGAACAATAAGACATCTACTGACATTTTGGGTTTCGCAACTCCCGAAGGGAGACTTTATAAACAAATATAGGTAGCCTCAGGGTCGCAAAGTCTATCCCGTTACTCCGCAAAGCCATTTCCTGGTCGCTTATACCTTTTTGGATATAGACAGTAAACAGACCCTAAGCCATAGTTCGTTAGCATATTGCATGCTTTAAGGACCTAAAGGTAGATTTTGGTCTTCGCTCACGGAACCGATTACAAGCAGGATGGCTACAGCCCTTTCTAGGAGCTCACCTGGGAACTGCAGGCACGAGTTACGACGAAAAAGACCGAATAATGCATCTAGAGCTGTGTCTGTTCCATGGCCTTCTCCATCCACACAGCTGAGATCATGTCGTAGTCCGACATGTATCTGTCGCATCTGTTAGTTTGTGTCCACTAGCCAGAGTAGAAACGAGGAAATCTAACGCCACATGTTAGGACATATTACCTCTAAAGCAACGCGGGTGCCCTAATTCAGTCTTCAAAAATAGACAGTAAGCAAAAGGGTGCTACTTATTTCCTCTGCCCCCTCCGACCAGCAGTATTTTATAAACTGAACAACCTGAGTCGCCATCTTGATTTCGTTGCTGAGTAATGTGGCCTGGTAGAAGGCCTCCTGCTCCTTCGTCCAGGAGGCAATCTTATCCGATATAGTGTGCAGATAGGCGCGAAAACCAAGATCGCTGGTGTGCATCCAGGAGGACTGACTATTGTAACTCGAGGGCAGCCTGCAGTCGACATTTTTGTGAAGAACCACCAGCTCACCGTTGTTCCTTCTTTGTTTGAAAACTTCCACGTACGGGAATTCAAACAAAAGCTCGAATGCTCTCTGCAACAGAAAACAGAAAGAAGGAATGGTTTGACTAAATAAAACAGGCCGGTAGAACTGTACTTATTGCCAAATGCAGACTAAACAAGATCAGCTAGGGCGATAAATACCCATATCAGCTTTATTACAGAAAGTGGTATGTACTCCTTAGTAAAATAAACTTAAGCATTTGGGAATACAGTATTTAAAATGAGAAGGCAGATAAAAGTGGAACAAAGAACTAACAATTTGAATAGTAATCAACACTCTATAGTAGATAAAACATAGGGAAATATTACCCTCAGAAAAAGTTGCTTGGAGCAGAATGAACAGCTCTAAAACTCCTGGAGTTTCATATATACCAGGGGATGCTGCGTTGACACATTAACATAGACGTCAACTTAAAGTCGGAACCGACGGCCTACTTCCCTATCATACATGTTTATGCAACGGAACCATTCAATTCCCATAAGGATCCTAGCGCACATTTCAAAGCGATCACACTTGAGACTGGGAAAGTCCGCTTGCAGGGGAATTGACTTAGATAGGCATTGCAGTTTATTTCAATGTTACATTATTATTTCCATATTAACGCGAACGTCGGATGTTCGGGGTTAGCGGAGAGGCTTTAGCAAGGTCGAACTTGGGGAGGTTTGCTAAAAGGCCTAGACCACCTTGGCGGCGACATCTTCTTGCTAACACGAAGCCATGAAAAGAACAAAAGGAGGTTTATAAATCGATTGGTTCACAAATCAAACGCATTCTGATCAGAAGGAAGCAACCTGTAATCATTGACGAATGTCAGTGGTCTTGATTATGCAACACAAATCACGACTGAGGTTAATAATCCGGCTGAAATTTAGCGAGGCCTTTCTTTTATTTGGCCTGCTGAGCGATTTTAACGATGTCCCGATGCAAAATAAAAAGCAGTTTGCATAAAAATTCGTTGGTCCTCAGCTCGATAACCTGAATTACTTGAAAATTAGGTGTGCATTATGGATCGGCTAACATACGTCGAAAATTCCTCGGGACTGGCTTTTCTCAAATTTATCCTCTATATTAGTTAAAATTTTATTTATTTCTCACGTCCCTTATATCAGTCATAGTATCGCCTTTCGTGGTAGTTAGGGAACTATATATCCAGAAATTCGGTGTAGTAATACACATGAGGATGCTCTGATAATGGTTTATCCATGGAGAGATCAGTTTGGCGCCCCTTTAAAAAAATCTCTACCTCACTTTAAATGAGGAAGACAACTCAGAGGACGCCTGTACGTTTTTGATGATTCACAACATGCAATGGTGTTTCTAAAAGGGCATTTTGTAAACATTACCGTTCGATCATCTTTTGCCATAGCCACGGAGACGCAGCTGAACAATGAGAATACGCGTGCGACAATGCACAAGGGTGTCACACAAACAATAAGGGTGTCGTAAAAGTCACATTAAGGAACAATTTCAGTCTGATTTTTCTTCCCGAGAGGAGCGAAGAATTATCCCTCAATTGGTAGCCTTTTAAGTCATGGCTTTTAATGAATCATGATAGATTCAAGCGTAAGAACATGGCCAACAAAGACAAGGGAGACTGGGATGGCCATTTCAGACTAATTAGCCATTATCAGCCAGCCGTACCTAATCCCAGGTGTAGTGGCACACGAGACTCGAATTCGCAACCTGTTGATTTGGAAGTCCAAAGTTCTAACCATTGCGCCATGAGCTCATCGTCCTGCCTGCTAGCCGAACTCACTCGTCTTGTTCTGCCTTGGGGCCCACTTTCGAGTCTCTTTAGCAGCCGCACAGCGGCAGGCAGGTTAGGCATATGAGCACTTCCGACAAAGACAAGGAGGACTGAAATGGCTAGGTTTAAATATTTAAATGAGAAGGTCTTAGCTATATCGGTTTTGCCTACCGGTCTTGCTAACTAAATAATCCGGACCAACGTACCAAATTGCTTATTTCATTGATTGCTCAAGTAAAAGCTGGTCTTCCCAACATTTCCGTTGGTTTTTGGTATTTTCCCATCCCATGACCTAGTAGCGTATTTGTCAGCATTCCATTCATTCAAACTAGATTACGAAAACGCCTAATTAATATAACAAGTGCAAGTAGAAAGCCAGTAGTTTACTTAACCCTGGTAGCTGTACTGCTTTGTTTAACCATACACAGTTATTTACTTTAAAAGGAAGTTTCCTTTGTCGCAGCTTCCAAGTACGTTTCCCTAAGAAGTTATTACTTACTTGAATGAACTGGTCCTTCGTCAACTTCTCACGCAGACACCAGTTGCCGAGGTCTCTCTTCTGAGTGGACTTGAGAAGTTCCTTTATCGTGGCGGATCCTATGTGGAAGAGGCTTTCGTTTTGTCCCGCCTCAGTAGCATCTTGTGGATTCAATAGGCCCTCCTGGTTTACCAGAAGTTCGACCAACGGCGTCCGCAGATTCTCACCAACAATCGATTGAGCATCGTCGTCGTTACTTCGAGGGTACAGGTCCGCCTGTTCACAAGTGAATCGGACTGCTGAAGACTTGCGAGAGGCAGAGCGGGATCTGCTGCGCCCGGAAGATGCACTCCGTAAAATACCTTGAAATGGAGGCAAGAATACTCAAAGTTTGAAATACTTTGCCTCTCAGAACGTTATACGTGAGCGGTATTATGAAAACAGTTTTAGTATGTACTTTCCCGTTTCGCACTCTAAACTGGAAGACACTAAATATTTTTTCGTTATTCTGCCACTTTGGAGGTCACGCTAACGTATAAGTATTATAAAAAAGACAAGGTAGATCTGAATGGCAATTTCTGGTTTAAAAGCCGTCAACAACCAGCTATACCCCAACAGAGGTGCTGTACCGCCGAGGCTCGAACCCGCGATCTGCTTATCTAAACCGGCCAGCCAACGAGCCCATGGCGTACTGGACAGAGCACTGGACTTCCGATCAGCAGGTCGCGAATTCGAGCCTCCAGTATTGCACCAGCTAGGGTTAGGTATGACTTGCTTTCGACGGCTAATAAACCAGGAATGGTCATTCCGGTATCTCTTGTTTTTGTAGGTCATCTGGCTATAACACTAGCTGCTGTGTGGTTGCTAGCAGGGCTCGAGGGTGAGCCCCAAGGCAGAACGGAATGAGGGAGTCCCGTAACCGAGCGGTAAGGCATCCATCCACCAAAGTTATCCTTGCACTTTTGTTTTGCTGTTTTACCTACGATATTTCAGCAGTTGACAGTTCAATCGTCGTAAGCGATGTCGTCCGCCCGTGCCCTACAAGATGCGCCTAGCAGCGCTAGCACGCAAAAGAAGTTGTCGATTGTGAAATAGACTTTTAATATAGTACTTCATGCTCTCCCTTTAAGCTCATAGTGCTTCGATGCCAAGGTGGAGAGAAGATAATTGCGGATGGGCAAGGACGTCTTGGCTGGCAAGGCCAGACTACACGTCTACGCGTGCCACACGCGATCTCGTACCTACCGAATGTGTTGCAGGTTAAAGAAGTCGTTTCCGAGTCTCATAGGTTCTTGGAGCAACAGTAAAAAGAACCATTAGAGTCTGGACCTCAGTTCTGAGAAGGGATGGGTTATCTCTTTCATTGGTACCCTCCTAGACAACGACTGAGAACGCGTCGTGGGAAGTTCAAGCGTGTCAGATTTATTAATTTAGGGACTGCAATGTTTTGACCGTGAGGATAGATTCTCCAGTATAGGCCCTGCTGGCTCTTTCCTAATTCATCTGCCAGGGTCTAGCGCGAGCCAAGCCGACCGGGGACGAGGCTGAACAGTGTTCAGAATTTACTGAATGATGTAACTACACAAAGAGTCGCAGGTTCAAAAGAATACTCATACTTGATTTAGGATGCTCCATAATCGGGACAAGAATTGACAGTGGTTAACAACATTTTCGTCAAAAGTAAAACAAGCATGAGTGAAAGATAGCTGCATGAATTCACTGGCGACTTTATATTCTGCCACTAACAGCGAACATGCGAGTCCTAGGAAGAAATTGAGAAGAAGATGATTCGATCGCTGAGGCAATATTTTTATCCGCCTGACGTTTCGAGATCCGTCGCGGACTCTTCATCAAAGACATAATTAGACAGCCGTAGCAGATACACGTAACGTATGCACAGGAGTCTGCTGTGTAAAACAGTTAAAATTTAAACGTGTAGAAAAAGTCAATAAGTGTATGGCATGAGTGCCGATTGGTCACGTCAGCAACGAGGAGCAGTGTTGGCGTAGGATGGCGCAGTGGCCTGTCTGTTCCCCGCGCG